GGCAAGTGGTTGGCTGATGCCGTCTGCAATCCCTTAACCTATGGTGTTTATTAAAGGGAAAGCAGAAACTAGAGTACATTTTAAAAGCATTGAAAAGACACTGCATTCACCCAATTTCACCAAAAAGATGGTAATCAGATCACAGCACTTCACATTGGCTGTTTCCACTCGTCCATCAACTGCAGATTTGTGGATTTTGTAGTAATGGCTGCCCAGAGTACGGATTCTTTGACCTGAGCGGTGGATCTGTAGCTTCTTCAGACACCACGACCGAAATGGATAATTGATCCATTTTAGTTATCATGCATTTGTGAATATTGTTCTCATTGCGAGAAGACTGACTGAACAGAGCTCCATTAGATTTTTAAGGTTGATATCTTTTCCAACCCAACCTTAAGTTCTCCATAACTTTCTGATGTACTTCTCTGCTATGTTCCATGCTCCTCATGCTGCTGGTTGTTGTCTAATAAACCTCTTAGGCTGTCACATAACAACTGTAATTGTACAGAGTTTAAATCACACACATCAGATTTTATTTACCAATTGGGTAACTTTTCATTTAAACAAATACCTACACCCTAAATGCACCAGGAAGCGTAATCACAGATCCTTCCTCCCAGCAGCTCTAAGACTTTATAACCACCACTGTTTCCAATTACTGCAATAAGTTGTTACATTCCTGCTGAATTTTGCACAGTTCTATTACCACTTCTGTTGTGTTGTTGCAATTTCTTTTTTTTCACATATCCCTTGCTGTAAAAATGTCCACAGCCGTATATTGATTATTTATTCTTTCCAGATGCACAGCATTTATATTGTGAAAAACACTGTATACATTATTATTTTCACTTATTGTGTTATTTTTATAGACTTTTTTTAAAGTCCACATTTGTGTGACTACTTTTGCCATAATATGTTGCTGCTGTAACACCACAATTTCCCCATTGTGGGACAATAAAGGGATTTTCTATTCCATTCTATTCCTTTCTATTCTAAACCTTGTTAGATATTGGTGGTTAATTTGAAACAAAATGTGAAAGAGTTCAAGGGGTGTAAATACTTTGGCAAGAACCTTTATCTGCTTGTCTCAAAGAAAACTTTTCCTCATAAATTATAAAGTGAGGCTATGTGTTTAAAATGAAAACACAAAATAAATCCTGCTATTTTCTCCCATGTCTGGATGTTATGTACATGTGCAACGTTATATACCTCCTATTTAGGTCATAGCAATGGCATTCAAGAGCAATTGCAGCTGTGCTAATGTACTGTCTATGCCTGGTTTATTAACAGTGTTTTAAATCAAGGAAACAGAATGAAATAACATAACATTAAGGAAAAAAAAAAACAAATTTTTTGTAGATCTGCCCTCCAGCTAAAAGCTAATTAAAAGGTAGAGTCCCTGATAGAGCATCTAAAATGTTAACCTTTAAAACTGCAGATATAAAGTAACCTAATTAGAAGTAGAAGAAAAGTGAGACTTCAGTGAAAGCAGAATAAAAAACATAGAGCTGCTCCACACTAAATCCTCTGGACTTAACTGGATACGAGTTCCAAGTCTGCTTGTGATCTTCTAGGAGAGAACCACTTAAGACCTTTTGGAATCAGCAAGGACGTTTGGGAGATTTGATGCAGACAGAAAGAGACAATGCCCACTATAAGCGGGTTCTGATGCTTGGACTGTTTTTCTGCCTCAGATAACTGCTTATTTTTGGATGTCAGCAAATTTGGAAAAAGAGAAAGGTGCTCAGGTCCAATGAGTCGAAAGCTGAATGATATGGTCCACCAGCAAATTATATGTGGGAAATAAACCAACACTACCTTTAACAGTTTAAACTTTAAACTATCCTGCGCTTGAAATTGGCAATGGCAGCATCATGCTGTGGGATGTTTTTTTTTTCTTTAGGACTGTAACAAATGATCAATTTGCCAATTTCTTATTCTGTCAATTATTTTGTTTTGATTAATAATCGGATAGTGAAAGGTTCCGGATAGACAAAACAGTTTTTTACGGAGCCCCTATGATGACATGGTCAAAAAAATGTTTAATTGTGGCCACGAAGTAGTATTTCGTGCGCACGAAATACTACTTTGTGGCCACGCAATAAGTTTAACATGCGCACGAAATACCTATTAATAATATCAATAAATCCGCCCCTGTTTTCAGGCTTATGTTAACTGTAATGACTTATCTTGGACAGACTGCTATGTAAACGGACCTTTAGTCCTTCGTTTAGCTATGCTGTGGTTGTTTACACTACGCCTTTTCCACCTAAAATGACATTTGTTGCTAAGACATTTGTCTTAGCAACAAATGTCACGTGACTGGCGGAGACCGACTGGGTAAGCAAATCGAGTGCGCCTTAGACCTTAGAGAAGGCGCGCTCGATTTGCTTACCCAGTTGCCCAGGAATGATATAAGTATTTAGTGCGCACGTTAAACTTATTGCGTGGCCACAAAGAAGTATTTCGTGCGCATGAAATACTACTTCGTGGCCACAATAAAAAAATTTTTTTGACCATGTCATCAGAGGGGCTCCGTAGTTTTTCATCTTAAAATGAAAAATTCTTACATATATTTCTTGTTTTAAATTTTGGTATAATTACTGCTCTAAGAAGGTTCCTCTGTCAGTCTCTATGCTCCATTTAACGATTATTAAGTTAATACATTAGTTGACGATTATTTCAATAATCCATTAAACACAATAAGTCTATTAATTGTTTCAGCCCTAGTTTTTTTTTTTTCCACAGACGAAATTTCTTCAGAGATAATACGATAATAGTTTAAATCAAAGTGCAGGTCAGTCTCAGACAAGAATCAGTTACAGGCCACAAAAATACTTTCAGCACCACAACTGCAACAGAATCGATCAGGTCAATGTGCTTTCATCTCAACCTGTATCAAACTGAGAACCTGAACTAAGGCTTTACATTTCTGTGTACAGTGGTCTCCAGCCAAACTGAATGAGCGTCAGGAATTTTGCAAAGAACGGGCAAAGAATGAAGTCTTTAGAACAGAAAAAAAAAACTGTAAAGACATACCATTTAATAATTGGGGCAGGTAATCAATGGAAGCTCAACACTTTATCTTCTTAATAAGATGCTACTTTGGGTTGACCATCACAGGTGTAGTGAGGCTCTGTGTGTGTGTGAGAAAGGTAAAGCATGAGCAGTGACAGTGCAAAGGCCTAGCAGGGAGAGAAGAACCTCTCCACTTCTCCAAAGCCTAGACCCATTGCTTTAGCACCAATACATTTTTGATGGACCCCCTTTTTCTTACTTCTGCTTCTCCGTAGTCCCTGATGGAATAACAGCGCCCCCAGCAACCTTCTATACAGCTTAAATTTACCCTGTGACGTTTGCAATGCGTAGGCGTTTTAGTGTGTCGTTGTGCATGTGTGTGTGAGTGAATGGTAGAAGAGTGGGAGCAAAGACAGACAAATAGAAAGACAGAGAGAGACTCTGAGAAAAGGAGAAAATGTTCCCCCTTGCCTATTAAATATTTGAGGAGCCTTCTGTGGAACTGTGATGCATTCAGAGACAGGCCTGTGTTTGCGCTGGGTGAAGCAGGGAGATTCAGAGCCGTTTAGGTTAGGACTAACTCAGCCGTGAGCAGGAAAGAGCGCTTTCACTGTTTATGAGGCATGGGAGATTCTCACGGCATGACCTTAACCTTAAAGAAAAATATCACTGTTTCACTAGATGTAAACAAAAATACGTTTGTTTGGTGATGTTTTGCTGTATATATATGTAATATATGCTGAAAATGCATTATTCAAAACATTATAATGGTATAACTTTTATTGAATAATGGTATTTTCAATATATTACCAATGAGTTTGGGAATTACATAAACTATACACCCGTTAAAATTCCCCCTAGTTCAAAAGGTAATACCATTTAAAGTCTGGTACAGAAAACGAGAGATAAATTAGCATTTAGACTGATTCTTTTACCAAAAAAAAACTGCAAAAAAAACATTACATGATTGTAAATGTGTTTTATGATAAGTTAAGAGATTTTGGTCACAGATGTATTTTTTTTTTTGGCCAGAAATGTTTGTCTGGTTTTTTTTCTGAGACAACCACATGAAACAAGCGTGAAATTATTGTCCACTTTTAGGCAACAAACATGTGCAGCAACAGGTGATGTTAGGGGAAGCAATGCATTAGTTTCCATGCAACCTTTAGAAAAGATATA